AGAAGAAGAAGAAGTGAAATGTGTTATGTTAGCAGGTGAGACAGTGGAGAATTGCAAAAGGTTCCCTTGAAAATATATAAAATATACAAATAAGCAGCACACACTCATTTTCACATGTGTTGCATGGGCTCCATATGCAGATCATCTTCTCTCTGTAGCCCGCTCCATGCTCTTCACACCCAGCCCCCAGCGCCTAGTCTGTTGTGGGCGCTCAATAAATATTAAACAACTAAAGTACAAACTCTTGTTTAGAAATTTGGAATTCACAGGAATCAATAGTAAATTGTTATTATCATTTAACATTTATTGAGAGTCAACAGCATGACCTAGTCCACATGTGCAAATAGATTACTTTATAATCACATGTTAAACAAATAAATTTAATACAAATGTGTTAACAAAGTGTTCAGTTTTACTCCATCTTAATTGTAAGATTGTTTTCCTTTTTTTAAAATAATATTGACACACCATGAAATATAAACATTCATCATTTAAGTAACTAAGTTTCTTTCAGGGAAATAATTACTCTTAGATATTATTAACATTCATTTGAAAGTATGAGCTAAAACTGCAATAGGTACACATCACAGATTCTACATAGACCAGCGCATATACAAAGAATAGAAGAATCTGAAAAGGCTGATAAGAACAAATGTACAAATCATGTAGTAGTATTTGGGTTTCACCTGTTGCTATGACAATTTAAAACACTAATACAATTATGTAGGGCAACACTGTTTACAAACTAGCATGGGAGGCAAAGAAAGACAGAAACTCTTCAGGTGAACACACATGAGCAAATTTATAAATTTAGAAACATTTCTTACTTTAAGGCAAAACCAATGTTTTTATTACAGGAAATAAACTGCATTTGGTACATTTATGATGCACATTTTCAATTTTATCCTTTATAAAATGATAACTAATTTAGTTCAAATTTGCTTGAGTTATTAATAAGCACTCAATTATGTTTAATATTTTTTCATAACTATTTTTGTCGTTTCTACTTAATTGGATTTTAAAGTGTCATTTTATTAAGAGGATGGAAAAGTATACTTAATATTACTGTCATAAAACTTTCAGTTTAGTTCTGGGATAATGAAGTGTGAGTAAGCAGGTTTTAAAGTGTGTTTTTCCCTAGCATCTTAGAAATAAAGTCCTTCTAGACCAGTCTTCTCTTAAAGAAGGAATATAGCTTCTATATTCTGATAAAAGAAACATACTACTTAAAAACTTTGTTGAATAGAAATTTTGATATTTGAAAGGAATAAAAGAGCCTAATTTAGCTTCCTAATTTTATAAAGAAGAGAAGCAAGGATAAGACTAAATGTTCCTAAATTTAGACTCCAACATTGTCCTAATTGGCAATTGTTTTATTTCCCCTTCCACTTTGTTTTAAAAAATAGTTTACAATATAATAGTTGCAATTACTAAAGTTTTATATTTTCAGTATTTTTAACCAAATGATGACGGCACATGCAGTTTTGTTTATGTAAGAGCATTATCTATAAAGATCATAACATTAATGGTATAATTAATAATGCATATATATTAATTGTTCTCTACTATTTCCATTTTCAAGTGGGAGTAGTTGGAGGATTTAATCATTTATTATCTAGTTTCTGAAATATCTGTCAACCTCCACTATTGGAAATCATATTTTGATTTACTAAAATATTTTCTTAGTTGCACAGTATTTATGGAGAAACAGCTCACTAAAGTCTGGGTAACCTAATATTCCTTTCTTCAATAGTTCCACTTGTTTTCATTTATCCCACAAATATTTATTAAACACTGCCAGCACTATTTATAAGCTCCAGACTCTCAAAGAACTTAAGTGATGTCATACACAGTTATGAGTGAAAGGAAAGGCAAAATGATTTGAGAGTAATTTATTACTATTGACTTCTCCTTTTCACTGTTGAACTTAAGTCACTCTGAAGGAAAATATCTTGAAATCGAGGAGATGCTGGGGCTCCAGTCTACAACTCAGGTCTTTAGGGTTAATTGTTCCAACTGGTCCTTGCTTGCCTGTGTAAGTAGCAAGACACTGGATGTTTCCTAGAGTGACTCAATTTGCTCCACTGGCTAACAACTAGCAAATATTATTAAAGATTTTCCTCTCAGAAAAAGTTATATTGAAAAAGAGAGAAGAAAAAGAGATTTAGGAAAGCAGGTTGATTCTGAAAAGGAATATCAAGGAGGCAAATATACCTATATATGAGAAATTATCAAAAATGAATAAACTGAGCTTAATGATGATGCACTTTTTCTAGATATAATATACAATAATATAAAGATGAATTCTCACACAATGTTATGTGTTCTATCTTTAACAGTCCTCAGTTCTCACTATAAAAAGAGTGACATGTGTTATATAAAAACATTTGATTTCTCCTGATGCTTCTAGGTAACGGCTTTCTAAACGAGGAGAATAGTTAATGCACTAGTGTGCCTGCACCTTAAGATGAAGGAATTTATCAAGAATTCCTTAATGCTCAAAATTCTATTCTAGCCAATTTATGATCTTTATGAGAAGAATAACTGAAAAATACATGATTCATCATGAATTACACATAGAGTTACATTTTTGGACTTTTGCAGAAGTTAGTCAAATTTCTACTTGTGATACAATGTCTAGTTTGCTAAATTACATTAACATAAAGTTCGTTTCATCTTTCACTATCTGAATTTCTTTTACAGTTTAGTTTAATCAATATTTCCCAAGTTTTCTAAATTATGGTGCAGGCTAAGTCCAGAAGTTCAATGTACATAATTTTACAGAATGCCTGAATATATTTGACATCCATAAAGAATTATGAATATTATATTTTTCCCTTGTACAACTCCATAAATTCAAACTTAAATGAATGAAAATAACTCTTTATAAAGTATTTAACTGTATTTCCATGCATTACAAACTAGTTTGAGGCTATGTATACTTTGGAAGATAAATAAAAACTATATTAGGAAGAAAAGTACACAACAGTCTCCAAGCATCATCTTATGGGTAAATAATGGAACACTAGGATGAAATCTCCAGGATATCCTGACTCATTCTCATGTAAACTCTCTGCTTTATTAAAATCACAATATATATATTTTCATATCATTGACTAGTCATAGATATATCACCACAAAATATGCAAGTGTGCAAATACTCTATTTCTTATGACTTTTATAATTGAAAGATATAAAGCCATTACTTTACAATATTTAAAACTGAACTGATATATTAAATCAATATAAGAAGTGTTGAAATCACCTCTTATATTTTTACATAAACCAAGAGCTGAAGGTCTTCATAAGATAAAAAATACTGTTAATAAAAAAATGAATTACAAAATCATCTGAAGGAGTAAGTTCACATCTCTAAAAGCCATTTTCAATCTCCTATCAACTTGAGGAAACATAGAATTAATGAAACTGACACTACCATGAAGATAAGAGGAAATGAACAGTTTGTGCTTAAATCAGTTATCTTTTAGGTACTGTTATTAGTGTAGCTATTAAATATTCTAATCAATCTTCTCTTAATATGCTGTGGCTATCAATGAAATCAATAAAAGCCATAAAAATGGGTACTCAATGCTTTTATACTACATAGGTGAAAAGTATGAAGGTTAGTGAAATCAAAGTAATTTGATAGTTGGTCTCAACTATATTGAAGCTGATTTTATAAGAAAAAATGCTTAAGTAAATACTGTATGTTTACCTAGGAATTTATAATTTTTTATATCCTTTCACATATGTTTTCTTGTTTTGGTTTTATGTCTTGTCAGATATGCAGGTCAGATATAATTAGATTCACTTTTAAAGAAGAAATTTAGGCTCAGAACTTTGCCAAAGTGAACCAGTTGAAATTAGGATCCAGTACTCCTATTCCTCTATTTTATATTTCAGAGACTAAAATACCCACTTCAAAAAGAAGTTAACAAAAACATTCTATTGGACTCTAAAATTCCAGGTAGTCTTCAGAAGCCAAAATGAATTTGAAATCTATTTCAATGTGATTATAATGTGATTTTTATTTAGAAAAGCCTGAAGAAATAAATCCTTTACTAATTCTTTTAACTGAATCCTTAACTTTAGTTTAACTGAGTCTTTAACTTTTGTTTACTTTTCTAAAATGCAAGGAATTAAAGAATATTTCATATTTCTAAAATTGGATATTTAATTGCATCTCTAATTTAAAAGGATAAATAATTTTGACTTTTTTCTTGAAAAAGTATTGATAGTTCTAATTTTGTTTATTTATTATAGTAAATAATAAATATGCTATTTTAATATATAAACTGCCAAAGATTGGCAGGGAACAACTAAAATTATTAGCACTCTGATCTTTAACAGAAGATCTAACATCATTTTAAATGTGTTTACTCTGCTACAGCATTTTTCTCAGCCCCATTCTAGAGTGATAAATGTATTATATAGCTGCATAAATAAAAATTAAAATACATTATTTATACATTATAACATATAAAATTAAAATTTTAGACCTTTTGGGAGGATCGACTGCTGAAGTCATAATATAAACTCAATAACTTACTTTTGTTGCTGCTTTTTCCTTTGTTTTAACTTTTACATGTTATTTTTCAAGCAATAGAATTGTTTTTGCATAAGTGAAATTGTTTCATCTTTATTCTTTCAACTATTTTCAGTCAGGTGTTGCTAAAACCAAAAATCAAACTTAAAAAATGTGTACCAGTTGCCCTGGATCATTCCTTATTCCCAACAATCTTCAGCATTTTTCCTGATGTAATTAAGCAGTCTGTGGAGTTTTCCTTTCTAAACTTATATTCAAAGTTTAGTTATACAAAAGAACAAAACCCAGATTGTTGCCTCACCTTCTCCCTGGCACAAAAAAACATGCAGGGACAGTGACAGAGAGCAATAGCTTTAAAGATTATTGTCTTCCGCCTGTCTGAGTCCAGTGCTGTCTTCCTCATGTTGTTGTCTTTCTAAAGAAGATAATGTCAACCTCCTTCATTTTTTTTTACCTTGCTCCACTGTCTTGGTTGTTTTTTCTTCCTTCTTTCCAGGTACAGCTGCAAAATAAAGATAAGGATTAAATGAAAGTTCCTTGTGGAAATGCTGCTTCTGCTCAAAAAAGCATTTTAACCTATTCAATACCAAAATTTTCTTCTAAACAAGTTACTTCAATGCTTTTCAAACATTTCTTATTTCTCAATAATCCAAATGAAACCCATTTGAAATCCAATCTTAGAGGATTAGAGAAAAAAAATCACTTTCATTTTTCTGACTAGTTTTTCCCGCACTGTTTTCTACTTTATTCTTTTATACTGTACTATGATAAACATGCTCTACAAAGAATTCTACTTGACAGGACAATGATCAATTGACTTGCATTCCAGGTTATTGCTGGAGTCATATAGTGTCTTTAAAATGTCAACTAGATGCTCTTTTAAATTCAAGCTTAATATAGCTTAATCAACTGGAGGACAGTGTAGCCACTCATGAGATTTACCTAAATATTAAATAAAGTCATTCCAAATCACAAGTAATCAAAAGAGAAACAAAATGATCATTTAGGTGCTATTTCCTCTGAACTCTGTTTTCTCTGAGACTTATATGCTTCAATGGAGTATTCACTGTTTACCTTTTTATACATCAAAATAGTAAGAGTGATTCACACAGAATCAGTGTACCCCACTGAAATAATTGATTCAAGTAAAGATCTTCAGAGGATACTAACAACTTTTAGAAAGATGAGTGGGGAACTGAATATTGTCATTACAGCCAAGTATCACTGCACAGAGTTGCAAGGGTGGAAAGTGCAACTTTGAATGAAGAAATGTGGTTGTCACCAGCCTAAGCCACTGATAAAATTTAGAGCCATTCATTCATAATAAGACATCCAGACATTCTGTGCTTCCTAATGACATAAACTGTGATGTATACAGTATAACCTCTGAAACATTCTTGACAAAACAACTAAAATCCAGTTAAGCCAAACATTTAGCTTTCAGTCTAATCAAATACAGGATATGGGCAACATATTAAATAGCATTCTGAAGAAATATACTCCCAAGATACAATCAGAGAATTACAAAATATCTACAGTATAAGTGGCCATGACCTTTTCAAAAAGTTAATGTCAAAAACAAGAGAGATAGAGAATTACTTTTTTACAGAAAACTTGTTAAATTCACTTATTAGTTATGAGTTCATCTGTACATTCTTTTGAATTTTTCAAGTAGATAATTTCATCTGTAATGAGTTTTATTCTTACTTTTCTATTCTTGTACCTATTATTTCTTCTTCTCACCTTACTCCACTGCTGCAATATTTAGTACAATGTGTAATAGGTGGTGATAGCATACATCTTTGTCTTGCTCTGATTCTCAGAAGAAAATCTTTCTAATTTTTTCCATTGGGTACGATATTTGCTATCTATTCTTGTTATTTTATTATTTTGGTTAATTATATTGATTTTTTTTAAAATTGCATCCCTGAAATAATACCAACTTGCTTGCATTTTATCTTTCACATATATTATCAGATGTGATCTGCTCAGGTATAAGCCTTCATGTTCACAAGAGAAGTTAGCCTGTATATTTTCTTTTCTTTTCAGTTCCTGTTAAGTTTTGATAGTAAGGTTAAAATGACTGAATGTTTCTCATCTTCTATATATGGGTGATTTAGTGCAGATTGTTAATTTTTTTTCTTAAAGTTTTGAAAAAATTCATGATTAAAGACACCTGGCTAAAATTTTCTTTGGTGAAGAATTATAATTATGGGATTCAAAATATAAATTTAATAAAAAATTTCAAACTTATTAAATTTATATTTTTATTATCTGTAGCATCTTTAATTATGTTTCTTTATTTTCTGATATTGAGGTTTTGTGCCTTCTCTTTTTCTTAGTAATTTTTCATAAAGGTCTATCAATTTTATTAGTTTTCATAGGGAATCTAACTTTTATTTAATTGATTTTTCTATTATACACTTTAATTTGTATTTAATTAGTTTCTGCTCTTATATTTAAAATTTCTAATTGCTTTGGGTTTTATGCTTCATATATTTAAAAATTCATTGGATTCCTTAATACTTGAATTTTAGCCTTTTTTCTAGTGAATATTTTTAAAGAGTAAAAATTTCACTCTAAACATTGTTTAGTTGAATCCCAAGTTTCAATGCAATGTTTTCACCACACATTAATTCCACTGTCATTTTTTATTTGACCCATGGATATTTAGAAATGTATTGCTTACTTTTTTCACACACTTCACATCGTTTCTGACATAGCAAGTGGTTGATATATATTTGCTTGGTGATTAAATGTGTTATTAATTGATAAAGAAATGTTTTGACAATAAATATTCTGAGTTAAGAGAAAAAGATCAGTTTTGTTGTTAGCGTTTTTTTTTGTTTGTTTGTTTTAACCTGTGCTTTGTTAATTTTTTATTTTTTGACATTCAATATTATTCCATGTTAGTTTTGGGTGTAGAATATAGTGTTTAGACAATCCTATAATTTACGAAGTGTTCCCCTGATATTTTAGGTACCCATCTGGCATCACACATAGTTATTGCAATATTATTGGCTATATTCTCTATGCTGCATTTTATATTCCTATTTTGTAAGTACAAATGTGTATGCCCTAACTCCTTCACATTTTCCATTCATCTCCCTAATGCCTTTTTCCTCTGAACACTATCAAAACGTTCTCTGTATCTACAAGTCTTTTCTGTTTTTTTTTAAAATTTTGTTCTTTAGATTCCTCATATAAGTTAAACCACATGGTGTTTGTCTTTGTCTGACATTTCACTTAGCGATAATACCCTATAGGTCTATCCATGCTGTCACAGATGGTAAGATTTCATTTTTTTATGACCAAGTAACATATACCACAACTTTTTTTATCCACTCCTGTATTGATGGGCACTTGGGCTGCTTTCAAAACTTGGCTCTTGTAAATAATGCTTCAATAAACATAAGGTGAGGAAACCCAGAAAATTTGAAAGGAGATATGCATCCTTATTGGTGTTAGTGGTTTTCTCAAAAGAGCAAAGATTTTAATGATAGCCAACAAGATGTGAAGAAAAGCAAAGTAGCAGAAAAGCCTTAGGTGTGCCTAAAGGAAAGTATACAAGTTTAACTGAAGTAGAAGATTCCCAAAAGATATGAAATAATCTAAAAATAGATTAGGCCAGTGCAAAAGGCCTTGAATTCCTAACTAAAGGGTTAGATTTTATTATGTATGCTTTAAGAAGCTAGTAGGATGTGTGATACATTAGTCTCTTCTCGAAAATAAAACACTGAAGATTTGCGATTATGATAGATGTTGGGTATATAGTTTTATTTATAATTCTTCTGTTGATAAAACACATTATTAATATTGTGCAGAAAATATGTATTTTTTGATTGTCTTATTTTAATCCTCTGAAGAGTAAATGTCTTTCAGAAAATTACTGGAATATGACTTACACATAAACCCGAAGGCTTGTTTTTAATAATTGGTTCATAAGTCCTTGCACTCTTATCATGTAGAAAAGGCTAGTCTCCTACAGTGCTGTTTTTGTTACTCAGAAAAGGTCACTGAAAATGCTGAATATTTATACCAAAAAGAAGACATTTTACATAAAATAATGATCCTTTTATTTCTAGTTCAGATGTAAAATTCATCAAGTCCAATTCTATGGACAATAAATGTTAGAAATAAACAGCTCATCCAACTGGATTTTCTAACTGCTTGGAATCAAAAGACATTAATCAATTTTTCTTTTAGTGCCACAAGTCGCAGCAGCCGCCTGTGGTGCTAAGAGAAGAGATTTTCTTTTCTCTATATTTGGAGGGGCTTACTTAAAAAAAAAAAAGAGTAGATGTGTATTACATTCCTTCAGGGATCCCGACTAATACGCAGAAAACAAAGTAGCTGACATTTTCTGAGAAAAGTTTTTTCATGAAGTTCTGAAATGACAACATAGAACTGGGGATCTTAAGGTTAAAAAGGCAGAGTCTCAACCTTGAGAGTGACAGAGCTCACAAAGAGAGATTACAGAATGAGGAATTCAGAGGATTCATAATGGATTTTGGGAACATCGATAATTAAGGTGCAGCAAAGTAAAAACAAAAACAAAAACAAAAACAAAGAAGTCAGAAATAAATGTCAGAGACTATGAGGAGAACCAAAAGACTATGCTGGCATGACACGCCATAAGTGGAGAGACTGAGAGAAGAAGCAAATAGGTAAATTCAGCTGTGAAATCTAATAATGTGAGGACTAAAGTGCTTCATTTGTTTAGCAATGATAGTATCATCAGCATTAGCAAGAACATCGATGACAGTGTAAGGAGAGAAACCTCATCTTCATGGGAAGTGAGAAGGGGCGTTGGCACTCCAGCATTCGGGAGAATGATTAACCTGTGGAGGAGAGAAAATCGTGGAGCAATAGGAATGTAGAAAATGTAATTGTGAAGCTGAGAATAATATTTCCAAACTGACAAAGTCATTAATGAGAAGGAGGATGCCGCAAAACAGCATGGAAGATGGATTAAGGAAGACAAAACTGGAGAAGATGATCTTGAAAAGAAGGGTAAACACTTACCTTTAAAATTATAACAGAGATGGATATAGATTAAACAGGAACTCCAAGCTGCTTTTCTATTTCTGCTTTTATTCACAGCAACTTTCTTACATCTGTTACTTTTCTCCTCAATTTGTCATCCTTTAACATTTACTTGTGCCACTCTTCTGAAAATTCTCTTTTGAAAATTATTAATAATTGTAGAGCTGAGAAATTCAGTGGCTTAATGACCACTACCTTGTTATTGAAATGACATTGAAATGTTTGTAGGTTTATGTGTGTGTGTATTGAGTGTATATTGAGAATGGGTTTGTTAAATTGTCTCTTTAGATACTTCCAAAGACATTGGATATATTACTTACTTCATTTCTGTTTATTTTTAAAATGAAGTTACAAATTTCAGAATTGTTGCAGTTTATTCCTAAATGGGCATATGCAAAACTTTTCATTTTGTTGATTATTTTTAATGTATGTTAATATTCTTAAAAATATTCTTAAAACTGTCTCCAATTTTCACAAAACTTAAATTCCAAACTTCCCAATATGGTTGCTTTTTAATTGTTCGGTTACCGTTGTCCCACCTTTCTCTCCCTTGCTCTCCCCCCCCCCCATCCCCCTACTCCCACAGCCACTCCTCCCATTATCTGTGCCCATGAGTCCTCTATTCATGCTCCTTTGCTAACCCAAATTTCCTAATATGTTTCTTTTTTTATTAATTAATTTATTTTTCCAAACACATTTGTCTCTGCCTTCCCCCCACCACTTTCCCCTGCCCTCTCCCCCCCTCTCCCTCCCTCAATCCTTCCCCACTTTGGTTTTGTCCATGAGTCCTTGCAATATGTTTCTTAAAGCAAAATGTTTCCAAGGAACACATTTTTAATTTGATAATATTCTTGCAGAAATGAACATTATTCAGGTAAGTTCTACTAGTTGAAGTTTCATTTGTTTGAGCTCCAACCACCTAAAGCCATATATCACAGCTGAATGCTCTCCAGGTAACTGGGATCCCACTGAGCTTGAACAGCAGCATTTCTTCAATTTTTCAAAAACTAACTTGCAATTGAACTACAATTTCTAGTTTTAGTTTATGGCCCTAAAGGAATAAAGCTATTGGCGCTAGAACACTGAACACAAAGGCTTGTTAATATAGACACTATAAATCTTGTGCAAAGTGAGTTTGTTTTCATATCAATGAAATTGAAAACACAATAAATAGAGCTCTTTCATAGCACTAAACAATAGATTAAGTTAGAAACCTTTGCAGAAATAAGTTTTAGTCATGACACCTTTTTCTTTAAGTTGCATTTACCTTTTTTAGTTGAGGCAGCACCAACCTCTTCTTTGCCTCGATCGATTTCTGCAAATTCAAGTATTAAAGAATGATAAATAAATATTTGAGAGGCCAAATAGATATAGTATTGTAGTCAGGCAAGACTTATAAGACTTGTAAGACAAGATTTACAGTTTAGTCTGTCCAGAAAATAAAATGTGTGTGGCCTCTAAGAGCAAAGTAAGCAGCAGAGAAAAACAAACTAGGCATGCTTGTATTTTTGTAAACTAATGAACTTTCCTAAACAGTAATATAGAAACACTCTTCCAAGACACAACGTTAAACGCAATATTAAAATTTTAGCTTATGTAAGTAGTGAACATAAAAGAATGTAGCTTATTTCACAAAATAACCTGCAACACTGATTTGTCAGAGTCAAATTTAAAATGATATGAGTTATGGGAAAGAGGGCTTGCAAGGCCTCCTTTGTTTACTCTTTAATTATGGAGATATCAAGCAGTATTTGACTTCAATCAATTAGCTTTATATTATAAGAGATTAGTCATAATATAACACAAAATTCTATTCAAATATTTCTTTGTAAGAGGAAAAAATAGACTTAAGAAGGCCAGAATGCCTTCTTGGAGCTTCTTTGAGTATCTCATGTGGAAGATAGGAAATCTGTGCTTAATACATAATCTGAAATGCTCATCTTTGTACAAAATGTTGGACCTTAAATCAAGGATTAATAAAATTGAAGGTTTTTCTCACCCATAGGAAAATAAGTAACATAAGAAAAATAAGAACGAGTTGATAAAATTTTATCAGCATTCTCTCCCATCCTGTAACATAGACATGTTGCTCTTGGGAAATTCATTGAAAAAAACATGCAGGTTAGGCTACCTAATCTTTTCACCACCTCTCCAGTACATGCTGGTACCATTTGTCTTCTTTCTAGTCCCAAAAGAATATCGGTATCTGCTCCTAGTGAATACCAAGCCTTCCATTTTTGCCCTCATCCCATCTCCTTTTGCCTAGTCAAGGCCTTCGTTCTTCCAAATGTTGCATCTGTCTGCTGCTTCATCAGTTTTCCACTTCACTGATGCTTTCACATCAGCTAACACACATGTGTCACACTTCATAATCTCAGACAACCACAACCTTCACTTCTATGCCCCCCACCAATGCCAACTACTTGATCTCTCTGTCACCCTTCGCAGCCTCCAGAGGAGCTGTTACACTCAGTGTCACCACTTTTACCTTCCCATCCTCTCCTTTTGAAAGTCCTTTAATTGTGGAATATATACAAATAAAAGATGTTAAGGCATATATATAGATGCACATTTTAATGAATGGCCACTTAAAAATTCCCATCTTTGAAAATTTTTGAAGGCTTTAAGAAACATGATACTTTCACTCTTTCACATCTCTTGTCCAACTATCATGCCTCTCCCTTCATCTTAATCATCATGGCTCTAAATTTTGTATTAATTATTCACTTATTTTTCTATACAGCTTTTACTACATATATTTACCTTTAAACAAAGGTAAGACTATTTTATATAGATTAAATTATGTTTTAGGGGGAAAATGTATGTAAGTTGAAGCATATGATAGTTTAATTTTTGTGATTTGCTTCTTTCAAAACATTGCGTTGAGGTGCAGCAGTAAAATAGTTAAACAAGGAGGCGATTTGACTGGAATAGCGCTAGTGCCTTCAGTAGTCTATGTAAATGAACTAAAGCCAGAGCCAGCTAGATTTTTCTCATATCTGAGAAAATGATACTCAAGACCAACTATGACAACAGTCAAATAACTCAATGTTCCCAAATAAGGCCATTTGTGTTGCAGCCACTTAAATCATTTGTTTGCTTCACTTCCTCATTTCTCTATGAAAACCTTGGCGCTAGCACCCACCAGCGCTAGCACCCACCCTTAAACATGTTTCAGGTTTGACGCTGCCCTATTCAAATTGTTATATGCTCAATTACACTGTTTTACTTCTTACAGATATCAAAAGTAGCTATAGCTGATTTATTTAACTTTGGCATAGTGTCTCAGTGTACACATGTTTTACAAATTATACATTCATTTTCTTTCCAATAGATACTAGGTCATGACCAATTTTGTGCTACTATAAATAATATTGGTATGACTATCCCTGTAAATTCTTTCTGCAATGTGAAATAGTTTTCTTAGAGATAAATGGCTAGGTTATAGCATGTGCTCATGTTTTACTTCTTTAGATCAATGCTGCATTTTTTTCCTAAAAATGTTACATTCACACCAACAGTGTATGTAAGAGTTTCTATTTCTTCATATCATTACCATTACCAGAATAATCAGTTTTCCCCATTTTTGGTTAATCTTGTATGTGTAAAATAGTATATCATTGAGGTTTTAAATAAAATTCCATTATTTCTAAGAGGCTGAACATTTTTTTGAAATGTTTACAGGCTATTTGTGTGTTTTTTAATCCTTGCTTATATCTTCTACCCATTTCTCTGACTATTGTGCTATTAAGACTTTTGTCTTCTCTTTTCATTTGTAAAGTATCTTTTTTTTTTGCTATTAATCTCTTGTTACTTATACGTGCTACAAATATGTGCTTCAAGTTTGTAGCTTCACTTTTCTCTCTCTTTATAGTGTCTATAGATTAAAGTTCTTTATTTTAGTGTAATAAACTGTATCAGCTTTTTAATTTATGGTTTTATTTTGTATATGTAATTTAAATCCTCCAACACTTCAAGTGTATGTGTGTATGTGTGTGTGTGTATCTTCTTATACTTTTGAATTAATGCATTGTTTTGTCTTTACCATTTATGTCTGACCCATATGGAATTGATATTTGGAATTGTATAAAATACAGATACACTGTTTTTGGTAATGAATACCATCTACATCAGCAACATTTAAAAATAATATATCCATTCCCTAGCTGTCTGAAATGGTGGCTCATTCTTATATCAGATTTTTGTCCAAGTGGGACCTGCTTGAGACCTCCTTTTTCTCTGTCTTATTGGAAAACTTGTTTTGGTCTTCCATAATACCATCTACCTTTTAAAACACAGTATCAGGAGATTGTTTTATTACTAAGATGTGGAACACACAGCACTGGTGTCAGTAGTCATACTTTACAGAGCTATTTAATGTATTCATTATTACATTTTCCTAATACTAAAATGTATTCCTGATTTCTCATTTAAAACCCTCTCCCCTGCCTTTCTCACATTTAAACTGAATTCAAATTCTACTTTTGCTGGTACTCGCTGATCTAGCTTGGATCTCTTTGAACCATTTTAATGAATATTCTTGAACTCTGAACCATAATATTTCCAAATCTGAGGCTGTCACCCAAGATGTCACCTTTGGGTTTGTACATAGGATTAAACAAGCAGCATATCTTGCCCTTCCACCTAAGTCAGTCCCAGGTTGCTCACATTCTACTTTTGGTGCTGAAACCTCCCAAAACCATCATCTTGGCACTTTATCTGTACTATTTTACGTTCATTTTGTCAGCATCATCTGTGATTTGGGTAGTAATAGTATAATCTATTATCCAAACCAAACAAGTAAAAGGAGGTGCTATTAATAATTATTAGGGGATAATATTACTAAACAAAGATTGTCTTAAGGTACTGAGATACATGGTCATAAACACTCCATTTGATATCAGGTCCATAGACTTTCTTCCTCCAGTAATTTTCATGACATAGTATTTGAGTCCACAAAACCATTTTACTTTTCTAACAAATATGTAGTGTCATAAATTGCCCCCAAATATTCTTCCACTATTATATAACTGAATAAATTTAAAGGGACTTCATTTTAAAACTTTGTATACTGACTTCTGGACGATCCTGCCATGTAGATCAACTGATAGACATTTCAGTCATACACCTAGGTATTGAAATGTAGTTAAGGTGATAACATAGTCAGTCTTGGTGGCTGAGCGTACCACTAAGTCTTGTGTGGTGCTAAACTCAAGGGATGAAAGATGCCTGACTGTTGCTATTTCATATAAGTTTAGAACCACAATTAAATTACTATATTTTGGTCCTGATCTCTACCTCAGTTCTCTTCTTGTTCAAAATTTGACCATTGGCTGGTTGAACATGCACATGAAATACATGATCAGAGCCCCATGGTTCTCAATATGGCATGAAGGGATGTGTGTCAGTGTTTCCCAGTTCTTCTTCTTCTTCTTTTATAAATGCATTCTTTAATTATAGTTGATATACAATGTATATTCACAGGTGTACAACATTTATATACCGTACAAAGTTAACCCTCTGATTAGCCTAGTACCCCCCTGTTCTTGAAGTCTTGTTTGAAAAAATGAGGTGGATGTGGTGCAATATATTCAGTAAGTATATTCCCACTTAAAGATTCATGAAGAAGAGTGAGGAAGATCTGAAATGTGTTGGACTCTAAAAATCTTGTTTGGTCCTCTAGACTTGGAAATGGCTAATGATGTTGTCAACCCCTATGTCACTATCCAATGTGTGCAGAAGTAGGTGCAACAGAGTGCAGGGAGGGGAACTGGGTGTGCTGAGGCATTTTTACATGTACTATACTAAAGGACTCTTTGTTGGCTTGCAGAAATTGTAAATCTAGGTTTGGCATCCTTGCTTGGTCCAAGGCATTCTCCCTACAACCTCATGATCCCTGACATGTAACTTTATATGTGGAAGCATTATGAGTCTATCCTTAGTGTTACATCATTGAATTTAAAGTGTTTCCCCTTTTTTTCTGTTTATGGTACCATGAGAACCCTGACCCTGAACTGATACACTCCCAAGCTTGTCTGTGTCCTCCAGTATTTTTCCTGCACTTTTTGGGGTTTCTCCTGGGTCTACAGTAAAAAATTTTACAACACAAACTCAATCTACCTTCTAGTCATTCCATTTAAGTGAGTGCCAATGACAAATCACCTTTTACTTTTTTCATGGACTTACTCTAACTCAGTTATTCTCAACTATGTTTTCTTATTCAATATTATGAAATCTAATCACATATACAATTTATGTTCATTAAAGGATAGACCTCCTTATTTCATTTACTCTCAAAACTTAAGATCATGTAAACTAATATCCTGAATGTTAAAGTAATATATGCAAAACTGCGTATGAGTGATTTAAGGAATTTTAAGAGTATTTGTAATGATATGCAATTTTCACCTTAGGTATTAACTTTACAAACAGCTCATTGTATATAGCAGTCATGTAAAAAGAAAATTTTTTCTTGTATGGTTTTAAAGCAAAAAAAAAAGGTTTTTTCATTGGGGAAATGGCTGGTTGCATTGTTAACAGAGAATTCAAACAATTTATTAATTATCTTTAATCAACCTTCGTATTGAGGGATAATGCCCATGCCAAGTCCAAATCTCTCAACCATATGGGGTGTTGAATATGAGTTCTGTTGAAACTTTTATATTGGGTCTAAGATGATTTGGCAAACTAGTTTCCTGGAAAACATGCTGATCTCTTCAAAACTTGATTTGATAGTGTGTTTCACAGCAGAATTTACAAGGTTTTTTTAAATTGAAAATTAATTTTTTTCTACAAGTTATATTTTTATGGAAAAAATGTTCATTTCAGAATAATCTTCAATCTAAACTACTCTAACTAGTGCTGTGAAATTATCAGTTTCATTTTATATATTTTCCTGATTATGCATTTCTACCTACTAAGTATTAGCATCCTAAAGGCTTTCTAATATAAGGTTCTAATCATATTTATATTAACTAAAATGTTTCATACAATATAAAAGAAATTTTAAATTCATATTAAACCTCTCCTTCAAAGTCTGCTGTGTCTATGTGAACATTTCCATCTATAATTTTTAAAAGATATTTTCAAGTTACTCAATATTGTATTTCCAATTTTCTCTGACATACCCACTAATGATATAGTTTGTCTCAAAAAACAGCAATAAAAATGATTTTGTTTTTGTATTAGTACCATTTTTAACATTTAAGGAGCTCCAACAGAAAAGAAAAATATAAACTTCTTACATTAGCATACAACTGAGGTTTAACCATAATCTTATATATAAAGTTTAGAGAAGTTAAAAGTACCATATATTTTTTCTAAAATTAAATATATGCAATTATGCCAAAATAATTTTTATTAAGATAATCTGTTATTTACTTTATTGAATCAAGAAATACTGACAAAACAATCAGCATTTCTCTGTAAGCATATTGTCATAACTACTATGGAAACAAATGCTATAGTATATTATAGTTATCAGTTGATATTCATAAACTGAGAATACATGCCTCAAAATGAAAACTATGGCATTATAACAGTAATAGTTAATAAAATTTGGGGGAGCTTCATTGTATTAAAGACAAAATGACTTCACTGGTAAACAAATTATGCTGCCAACTGGTTTGATCAAGTGATTCATCATTAGGAAAATTAAGTCTAATGAGTTTAAGAAGCTGAAGAGCTCCCTTAACACTTTGCAAAATGGGAAACAAAAATACAAACAACTCAAAAGGGATTATGGTCTGGACAAATTAGCACTTACAAATTAAAAATTTATAAATAAATTTTGATAAGAATGAATTCACAGAAAATACAGGGTTAAATAATTATGCACATTATTTCAACAAGTTAAATCATCATGGCAAGAAATATTTGGTAAGCCAGCTTTAAAAATTAGCATCAGCAATATGTATAAGAGAAAACTTAAGTGAGTAAGCTGCTGAAATATGCTCTTTTTGTTTTTTTAAAGTTTTATTTAACATACTTGCTTTTACTTGTTTTTCACTTGGCGCTGTTAAGGACAAGAAATAATAAAGTCTAAATTAATTACCCATATACTTGTCTCTCTTTTAACAGTATTAAGGTTATTTTCTTCTAAAGACTGTACTATAACCTTGGAAACTATTAAAAATTGGTCTGAGGAAGAGAAAATGCAACAATCTACCTTTTTTCTTTGATATACTTTAAATATTTACCACAAACCATAGATTTTTTAAATATTCATATACCTTTTTCCAACACAGAATGCTCATTCACAACTCATTCATTTGGTTTTCCATTCTAAAATACCTAAGAATCTGTTTTTAAATATGAGTCAATTCATTTTCCTTAAAGCCTATAAAATGGTATGAAAAGAATGAAATGAGTTGATAAATTATCCAATGGTTTTAATGTTTAAAATAAAGCTAGTTATTGCTAAGGTGCTACATCATCATCAACCCAAGAATGGGCAGATAATGATTTTAGGGAATTTAAATTATTGTATTTTCTCAGGTTCAATTCTAGACAAAAATGTTTAGCTGTTGAAACTCTTGAAACTAATTACACCCATAGTCATTCTGTTGCTTCTCTGTGTTTCTATGATGTATGCTTTCTTTTAGCTTTCTACATATGTGTGTAAGTGAGAATATGTGCTATGGCCCACATGTGAGAATGTTACCCCTGACAGCTACTCTGCTCCCTGTGAGATAAACAAAAATATTCCTCTTGAAATGATAAGTAATATCAATGTTAATGTCAAGTGGTAAAATATATGATTGTTTCATATTATAAATTAGTTGAAAGTCATTCATATTTAAATTTTTTAATTAACATGTTTATCCTATTTCATATTGCTCTTTCCATTTAGTCAATCCTTATCAAGTGTTCACTATGTGTCTGACTTTATAATATGGAAATAAAGATATAAACATTAATTCTTATCCCCAAAATTCTGGTTATTTAAAGTGAAAGAAGAAAAGGTAATATGATTACAACAGTATATTAGTGTTTTTATAAAAGAAATAAAATGATACTATGAGAATTAGCTGGAGAGACAACCAAATGGATTTGGGTTGTCTGAGCAGGTTTTACAAACTTAGAATAAGAATAATAAGAAATAGGACTTGAAACCTATGGTAGACTGTGGCCTGTGGCAGGGATAAGTATAGTTGAGCTATATTTGCATGACTATTTACATAATATTGAGTAAACACTATTATTTCCATTTAAGTACAATAAAATAGCAGGAGCGATTAATAGAGATTATATTAGTTTATGACCTCTACACACATACTAGAAAAATCAGTGAAGTTTCCTGAGTAGAAGTGTGCCAGGAAAAATCAGCAAGTTATGTGTTAAAATGAGGTCAATAAAATTTCCAAAACTTTGCATTTATTTTCATTTGAAACAACTAAGGCAAGTTAAGTGCTAGAAACCTTTTAGAAAACTATTTGGTATCTATAGTAACTGAATTTTTAGTTTTTGTTGGTTTTTATGTACACTTTTCTGCTTGTCTGATTCTCAATTCAATTGTTTTCACCATTAGGCTATAAATATATTGAGGGAAAAATCTACTCTCATTGTAACTCCTCAGAGTACTTAAGAAATGTCATTAAGTAACATTTGAAATAGGGAGAGAAAATTTGCTGAAATTGAATATTTCATATATTAAAAGCAAATCAATATCAGATGCATTCACATAAAGTGCTTTGGTCTTGTTTCGTTTGCATTTTTTTCTTTTACACTAAGCTGTAAAACAGTGCTTCTGAATCACTGCATAGATGATTCCCTGGGGGGGGAGGGGGAGGGGTGCGTCTCAGGAAGCTACAGATTCTGATACAGCAAATCTGGAGTGGGACCAGAGGTTGTGTTTTGCTTACAGCTTTCAGGTGATTCTGATACTGCTGGTTCACAAAATGCACAGAGTAACAACAGTGAAGCATATTATTTGCCTTTCATTTTCTAAATCTTCATTAGGCTTTACTATGTGAAGAATTTAAACAAAAGACTTTGAGAGAGAAGAATGTCTGACTATTTCCTGTCAAAGGCCCTCACCGCCTGTCTGAGGCTGTGGCATTAGCAAACATTGGGTATCAGTAAAAAAGAATCCAGCAACACTGGTCTCACTCACCTGGATGTTCCTTCTTTGGTGGCTTTGCTATATCAAGCAAGAAAAGAAAAAAGGTAATCATTTCATGCTATATAATCCCAATTCACTATTCAATTGCTAATTAAATAAATGAGCAAATTAAATAATGAAATGAAGAACATAGAGACATTTTAAAGCAGTTACCTGATTCCACATCTTTTTCTTTTTTTTCCTGTTCTGAAACATATCATTATTGTTATTATTATTATTATGGTTCTGTGTCACAACTTGTTTTAACACAAAAAACATGTGTGTGTTAATGCAAGATTGCAGCAAGTAATAATAAACACCATAAAAAGACTAATATTGTATATTTAGAACAACTCTTTCCTTGTATTTTCTTCCACAGAGTTCCCTCACAGACAACATGGAAATATTCTGAATATTAGAGGAATTAAAATATTTCACGGATAATTAACCAGAAAAATAACGTAGAGTTTATAAAGGATGAAAAAATTAAATTTGTTATTATATCAACATAAAATACATTTGGGGTATTTTAAAGTAAGCACAAAGGATAATTATCGTAGCTGTTTTAAAACGACTTTCAGATGTAGATGGACAAATTTCATATAGACTTCTTCTAGGATGAACTTTTCTTATATTGAAAAGATCATTGTTTTCCTAATACAAAGGCTTTGCTGAGGCAGATTTAAGAGAATAAAATAGACTAGGAATTTTCAGAAGGAAGCAAAACACATTCCCTTGTTTATAGGACAAATATTCCTTATAAAGTCCTTTTTAGATAGTGTTCTTTTTTAAGAACCCACTTCTATCAATATTGTACAAAACAAAACATTATTGGCTTCAAGAACAAACTGGCATTTACATTATAATAACTAATTCTATATGAAGCATAAGTGCCAATTTCATATAAAGTACTATTATGTACATTTATATTCTTATTTAGTTTGCCTTGATAAGCCTGTAGAACTAATTTAAAAGAGAATTTTCAAGAACTACTTTAACACAGACACAGTATGATTCATTTTTTAAAGAAAAAGAGTGGAGAGATTTCCTCAAGTTCTGTTTAGTGAATACATTTGGAGACTAGAAGATGTTTATGCTGAAAGAATTCTAAGAACTCTATTTTAGAAACATAAAGTGTCATTGAATCAAGTGTACAATCTCTCAAGTGTACAATTTTGTTTATCAGGACTCTAGTTTTGAAGGTATAACGACTAATTTATTTACCCCTCTTCCCTAAGATAGCATGCAGGTAGGCTTGACCAAGTGTTACAAGTCAAAGGAAAGAGTTTGGGCAACTTAACAAAATTCAGCAAAATAACTTTACCAAAAGTTGTCTGGAAAACAATAAGTAATTAAATATATAGCTTAATTTATAGCTTACGTAACACCAATTAGAAAATATTTATAAGAACTCTGTAAGGTGATGACAATTAAAAAAATGCTTGAAGCAGATTTGGGTTGCATCAAAATCAAACACCATCTAAATGTGAGATTTCAAAGTTAAAATAAGGGCCTTTCAATAACATCAAAGAAGAAAAGTACTGTACTGATCTGGAATGATATGCAGGAAAAGATTATTGAGAATATTTATTGTATGGAATAACTCAAGAAATAATTATTAAATTACCCCATATAAAGATAAATAAACTTAACTATTAATTCTACAGGATCTTAAAAACCATACTCATGAATGGTATTTTGAGGGTTTTTTTGCATTTTGTTTTTTGAAAAATTATAAATCGCAAGAATTTAGAAAAATTTATACAGGAAGTCCTCATGTACTCTTCACCCTGTTTCCCCTACCATGGCATGATTTATTTTTAAACTAAAAAAACCCAAAAGTACAGCCTCTTAAGTTGTGTTACCTAGAAGAGTAGGATCACAGTAAGAACATAGAGTTGGAGAAGAATAATTGAATGAAGCAAGCTTAAAGACAAAAAAACTAAATCAAACAAATTCAAGGATGCAACAATAAAAATCATAAAAATGACTTGATGATAAACCAGAATATGTTAATTTGAAAAGAATTAATAGTTGTTTAGAGGAAAAATCTTTTTCTTCTTAATACTGCCCAAGTCAAGATCTTCCCATAGAGTAAAGCAGTTGAGATGTAAGCAAATATCTAAAAAGGCTTGTCTATTCATTAGCTACCTCAATGACTCCAAAATTGTCAAGTTGTCACAGCATGTCTGCAGGAACTTTTAAAAATACAGAGTGTATACAAAGTGAGGGCTTTAAGGAGAGATATATACACATATATGTATATGTATGCATGTGTGTGTGTATATATATATATCTCCATATATATGGAGATAAATATATATAATTTAATCGCATTTTTTCAAAACTCCAGTTGTCCTTCATTTCCCCCTGGTTTATAGAATGCAATTGTTTATAAAGTGGTTTCTGTATCCAAGGGCCAGAGTTCATGCCAGAACTCATCAGCAGCTTTGCACACACAGAAGTCTGGGACTGAAGGAACATATCCTGCTTAAGAGAAATATTGCTCCCCCTGGCTAAGCTGTAATGTAATTTCATGATTCTCTCCACAGGATATTGTAGAGCATTTTTATGACATAGATTTTCTCAGTGTCTTGACCTTTTGCAGGACCAAATTATGCATAAATATTTTTTTAATTTGGTGTATATTTTAAAATATGTTTTTAATATTACTGGAATCTTTAAAAGCTCTACGTACCTAAAAATGTGATCATTTCTAAGGCTAATTGAATATGGTTAAGGTAAGGTTTTTTATTTCCATTTGTTCAATATATCGTATTTTCCTTAGAGGAGAGTATATATTTGCCAAGGACGTAACCACAAAGCTTTAATGAATTTTTAGCAAAACTTGTAATACTGTGTATTAAAGCAACAGTGGATGCTGCTTACGATATGGATCCCAAGCAATGGTATTCCGCAGAGCTCACAGTAGTACTGGCAGGAGGAAAAGTCATGTTATGGACAAAACGTTATGTCCTGGGAACATGCCAAAACAGTTTGGATTACAAGAAGAAAAAAAATAGAGAAGAAGTTGTAAAACTAGCCTGAAAAAGAATTTCTATTCAGTGTTTTCTATGGACAAAACTAACCAGATTATAGGGACTAAAGTTATACCAACATAATACAGTTTGGTTAATGGAATGCAGTTGTATCTTAGGTTACGAGGCTGAGGGTATGTTATTGGATGATTGCATGAGTTTGAAAAAGGACTCTAAGAATATTGCCATGCCTTTCAGTTCACTCTCACCCACCCCATGCCCAGGCTGTGCATTCTTTACTGCTGACAAAAAAACAACAAATAGTTTACATGCATAACACACAGAAGACGGAGGTTCAAAACAGCAAGTCTACATGTGACAGGCCAATAGTAATAGAAAGGAGAAAAAATACAAATTTCCATGCATTTCCTTACTTTTTCCCTTGGGTTGTTCTGTTGAAAGAAATATAAACAGGAAACCCTTGCTCTTAAAACCTTTAAAGATAAAGCGTACTCCCCAACATACCGATTTGACTGTATTTTTTCAACCACTCCCCTCACTTATCCTCTTAAATTACACGGAGAGTCTGCTTTGAGGTGTTGCTGATTATCATAAGTGTTTCCTTAATTTGATTGTAAAATACTGTTTGAAAATGAAAGAATTTAGGATTATACTGTCTAACCACTTTAAAAATTTACACCTTGCAATCTTCATAAATACATGTGAACACAAAAACACATGTGAACATATAAGCACATATGAATAAACAGAAGAAATAGGTATACTTGCCATATAAGTTATGATTCTATTCAATAGTTAAAGAGACAATTTGGTTTTCTAATTAATAGTGGCAAGTCCAAGATTAATTGAATTTATGCTTTCTAGTAAAATAAATGCTTGGTACTAAACATTTTTAATTTTTTTCTCAAGCAAATATTTCTTTGAAAACAAATATTGTGAAAGGTAAACATATAGAGTATTTATTTTTTATTACTGCCCACAATTTTGCATATCAGTATTGTCAGAAAAGACAACTTTTTTCTGATTTGTGTCTCTTTCTCTTTTTCAATCTCAATATTTTCAATCTTATATCCCACATATATAGCTTTTAAGAAGTAACTTATAAGACAGAATCAGTAAGTATTTCCAATACCTTCTGCAGGTGCTTTTGTTTTCTTGGAATCTAAAAACACAAAGAAAAATTAGTGATAAAGCAGAAAAGATAAATCAACAACTTATTAGCTCACAACAAAATGTCCATTCACTCTGAAAACATTTTCAACAAAATAGATTGATTACAAGACATGTTTTTAAAATTTTTGGCTTAAAGAGAAAATTTTTAAGATGAATGTTAGACTGAGGCAGGAAGTGAGAAACTTTATGAAGTATAAAATATACAGAAGTTTGAAAGACTATCCATATGCAGTTTGCAGAGATTACATTGTACCCACTGAAGCTAATAATCTTTTCACAAAAAGTCAAACTGAACAAATAAGTGGTCTGTTTTCATAAAGATGGGTTGGAGTTCGTGAATATAATTTTTAATTTCTTCATTTTTTTCAATCTCAAGTAGTCCAAGTGAAAACGTTGCACTTTTTTTGAATAAGCGATACATTTTCAACATAAACACTCAATTGTTCCTATTGCAATGGAAAAGAAACTGGAGGAAGTTAGCTCATGGGTTATTAATGAGCACGTCATTATACTTAGTAACTGCTCTTTAGTAATGTATTCAGTGGTCAGCAGATATCTGTTTTATTTTTAGTCTTTTGGGTATTCTGCTTAGATCTGAGAAACTTGTTATTTCCAGTATATAGGCCATGAAACTATCTGTTCCTATCACTTTAAAATAAAAAGGTTTTTGACTTTATTTATTTTAGGATGATGGCATCTTAAATTAGGCTTTTTCTTAGAATATTTTATTGCTTATATTCTGTGTTCTTTCTTTTACCTCTTCTGTAACTGAGTTTTGAAATTCTCTGAATATTAGTGAAATTAGAATCATAACAATGAACTACAAATTGCTACTTGCAAAAGGTAGATAAACACTTTTCTAGCAAATCAGTATATGGTTTAGAACCTAGAACAGCTGACATCCACTAACTGTTTGCAAGTTAATGAATTTGTGTGCCTTACAGTGATGGGTTGGTACAATAATTTTACTTCCACAATGAAAAGTGGACTAGAATGTTTGAAGATGACAACGAATAGCAGTTTGCTCATGAAAGACAGTTAGGTGGTCAACTGAGTGATTGTGTGAAAAAATGATAACAAATGACAGTAACAGTGTAATGAGGATAACAATCTACTTCCATAGAATTTTAAGCTAGAAACACTTTTTTAAGATAACAACTTGGGAAAGAATCCAGGAAGTCATAAAAATGTTTATGCTTTAGGCATTGTAACTCCACTTCTAGGTTTCCAAAGAAAAAATACAATTGCTATAAAAATGTATATAAGAATATGCTTTTTTCATTACACTGTTTTACAACTCTAAATACTTGGAATATAAAACAATACCATCTAAACAACTGGTGTCCAACCTGCAACCAGCAGGCTGCATACAGTCTAGAGGGGCTGTGAATGTGGCCCAACACAAAATCGTAAATTTACTTAAAACGAGATTTTTTTTGCGATTATGTGTCACAATTATGTGGCACGATTACGTGGTTCCATCCATGCTGTTGTAAAAGTTATGAATTCCTTCTTTCTTTCTGCTGTGTAGTATTCCATTATATAAATATACCAGAGTTTTTTGATCCACTCATCTACTGATAGGCACTTACGATGTTTCTAGCACTTGACTATTGCAAATAGTGCTGCTATGAACATTGGGGTACATGAGTTCTTTTGAATCAGTGTTTTTGGGATTCTTAGGGTCTATTCCCAACTGTGGTATCAGTGGATCAAAAGACAGTTCGATTTCTAACTTTTTGAGGAAATTCCATACTGTTTTCCACAGTGGTTGTACCAGTTTGCATTCCCACCAGCAGTGTACTAACATTCCCTTTTCTCCACAGCCTCACCCGCACTTGTTTGTTGATTCATTAATGATAGCTACTCTGATGGGTATGTGGAGATATCTCATGGTATTTTTAATTTACATCTCTCTGATGGCTAGTGATATTGAGCACTTTTCATGTGTCTATAGGTTATCTTTATATCCTCCTTGGAGAAGTATCTATTTGGGTCCTTTGTCCAGTTTTTAATTGGATTGTTTGTCTTCCTAGTATTGAGTCATATGAGTTCTTTATATATTTTGGAGACTATTATTGCTTGATGCATCATTGGCAAATATATTCCCCCATATGGTTGGTTCCCTTTTCATTTTGATGATTTTTTAAAGCCATGCAGAAGATTTTTAAATTGACGTAGTCCCATTTGTTTATTTTATCCTTTATTTCCCTTGCCCTAAGAGATATATCAGCAAAAATATTGCTACAGGAGACATTTGAAATTTCATTGCCGATGTTTTCTGCTAGGACTTTTATGGTGTTACAACTTATATTTAAGTCCTTTATCCATTTTGAGTTCATTCTGGCTTATGCTTTAAGTTGGTGGGTCTAATTTCATTATTTTTTGCATGTACAAGTCCAGTTCTCCTAACGCCATTTATTGAAAAGACTCTTTTTACTCCATGTTATGCTTCTGCCCCCTTTGTCAAATATTAATTGACCATAGAGACATGGGTTTATTTCTGGGCTCTCTCTTCTGTTCCATTGATCTATGTGTCTGTTCCTATGCCAATACCAGGCTGTTTTGATTATAGTGGACTTGTAATTTAGTTTTATATCAGATATTGTGATCTCTCTAATTTTATTCTTCTTTCTCAAGATTGCTGAGGTTATTTGAGGCCTTGTTTGGTTCCATATAAATTTTTGAAGTATTTGTTCTGATCAGTGAAATATGCCTTTGGCATTTTAATAAGGATTGCATTGAATCTATAGGTTGCTTTGGGTAGTATGGACAATTTAATGATGTTACTTATTTTAATCCATGAACACAGTATATTCTTCCATTTATTTGTGTCTTCCTCAATTTCTTTCTTCAGTGTTCTATAGCTTTCCAAGTATAGGTCTTTTACCTCCTTGGTTATACTTATTCTTAGGTACGTTATTTTTCTTGTTGCTATTGTAAATGAGATTTTTTTTCCCTAGCTTTTCTTTCTGACAGTTAATTATTGTTGTACAAAAATTCCATCAATTTCTGGATAACATGGACAAAATGGATAAATTTTTAGAAACATACAACCTTTTAAAACTGAATCAAGAAGAAGAAGAAAGCCTGAATAGACAGGTACCAAGTAGCAAAATCAAAGCAGTAATCAAAAAAACTCCCAGCACACAAAAGTCTTGGACTAGATGGCTTCACAGGTAAATTTTACCAAACATTCATAAAAGAACTAACTCCTATTTTTCTGAAACTATTCCAAGTAATTCAAGAAGAGGGAAGGCCCACAAACAATTTTTTAGAGGCCAGTATTATCCTAATTCCAAACCCAGGTAAAGAGACAACAAAGAAAGAAAATTACATGCCAACATCTCCGATGAACATAGATGCTAAAATCCTCAACAATATATTGGCAACCCAGATCCAGCAATACACTAAAAGATCCTACACCATGATCAAGGTGAACTTATCCCAGGGATGCAAGGATGGCACTATATTTGTAAATCAATAAACTTAATACACCACATAAATGAAAGACAAAAACCACATGATCATATCCATAAATGCTGAAAAAGCATTTGATAAAATTAAGCACCCATTTATAAGACTGCTCATCAAAGTGGGAATACAGGGAACATACCTCAACATAATAAAGGCCATATGTGAGAAACTACTGCCAACATCATTCTCAAAGAGCAAAAACTAAAAGCTTTCCCCTTAAGATCCAGAACAAGACAAGGTCATCCACTTTTATCATGCTTATTCAACACTGTACTGGAAGTTCTAGTCACAGTGATCAGACAAAAGGAAGAAATAAAAGACATCCAGATTGAGAAGGAGGAAGTAAAACTGTCATTATTTGCAGATGACATGATAGTGTACATAGAAACCCCTATAGTCTCCACCAAAAAGCTACTCGACCTAATAAGTGAATTTGGCAAAGCAGAGGCATACAAAGTCAACATTCAGAATTTGAAGACATGGATTCTTACAGCAGAGCAGCTGAAAGTATGAAGCAGATAGTTCAATGGCAACTATGACTTTTCAATTAGCTTGGTGCCAGTATAGTGGAGCGGGATTTCTGCATGCCCGTGAGGTCATATGATACTCAGTGAGTAAATTTTTGAGCCCCAAACGCAGCCAATATGGAAAACTTAGGCAGATTATGGTAAGCAGAGTTATTCAGGAATACAAGGGAAATAAAGCTTGGGAAGAATATTGAAACAAAGGGTAAATGTGGCAGATTAGGACACAATGATTTCCAAACCTCCTGCACCAATTTCTAACTAGATACTGGCATGGGATAAGGGTGGAAAAGCTAAAAACAATATGCATATCTGTAAAATGTCTCTTATTTTAAATCTATTTTCACTCTCCCTACTAAAGAATTGAAGATATATTGTACTAGATATCAATTGTGCTAAAATGAAAGAAAAAATAATATGAAGTTAAGGTCAGGTAAAGTAAAACATTTATTGAAATAAAAAATATTTTGTGAAGGTGAAGTGTAAAAAACAGCAAGCCATGATGTAACCAATTAGGCCTTTAAAAAGTTCAGTATATTTGCCATAAGCCATAGTAAAATTAACTTAAAATGCCATCTACAATCATGTCTTTTGGTTGGGAGCCAACAGAGCAGCAGATTCATACAAGTTAAATACTCAAGCAACCAAAAAATATAATGCTTGCAATAGAAAGATCACATTCTGACCCAGAAGAGCTATTAAGTACCAACCATTAATACTAATGCTATTAAACTTCATTATGCCCTCTCAGCACTCTGTCGAAACAGCTTACACATATCATAAGGACTTGTTTGATGACTACACTTCCCTAAAGACCATCTACCCCATACCTGAACAAGTCTTGTGTTAAGAATATTAAAGCCCGTAGCAGCTGTTATTTAAAAGCAGTGATGTGTTTGCAATCTGTTTAATTCATCACTCACTCATCTTTAGTCATGTACCAGGTATGGTCTATTTTGCTCATAAGTGATGCCAGAGGGAAATGAAA